CAACTTTTGGGGGGAAACTTGGCTTGTTTTCCCCCCACTTTTTCCCTCCTTTTCTCCCCCTCTTTGGTCCATATACTTGGCTGGCCAGCTCTGTCCCAAGGGTTACAAAAAATTTCCCTCAAGCCATTTGCATTGAATCTCTCTCCCTCTCCATCTCCAAGCTTCCATCCTTCCAACCCTACACCATTTTACACTACACCACCAACCCCCACCCTTCCATCCTTCATTCCAGCAGCTGGAGGCTGTTCTTCAAAGCCTAAGGAGCCACAAACTCAAGCCAAGAAGCTATCAAAGTTTGGTCTTCAAGGGTGAGTAGCATTCCCTCTCTTTTGAGCTTTTTCTTGTATCATTTCTTAGCCATACATGCTTGCTGTTTTGAGCTCCAGCCCTAACTAAAAGTGGAATTTTTTTGAGCTCCTTTTCACTTTTGCTTAAGTGCCTTTCACTGTTTGAGGCCCCCTTGATGCACTTGCTTCATTATCCTTCTTAAATGCCATTATCTTGCATAGTATTTTTGGCCTATGTGTGATCTGTTTTGGAGCATGATGTAAACTGTAAGTGAGCTTATTTTGAGCCCTTCTTCAACATTGAATAAGGGCTCATCACTGTTTGGGACTTCCATGTGCCACTTGTCATTATACCTCTCTTTGGTCCCCATTTTTGCATGATTTGACAGCCTATTGTGCTTCTATTTTTGGTCTCTTTTCAGAACTGAAAACAGTCTTATTTTGACCCATTATTCATGTTTCATTAAGGGTATTTCATGGTTTGAGGCATCCCTTATACACTTTGTGTTATATCTTTCTTTTGGGCCTCATTTTTGCATAGCATTTTGAACATATTTGAATACTGTTTTGGGTCCGGCCATCAACTGTAAAATGCATTATTTTTGGCCCCTCTTCAACATTGTTGAAGGGCCCCTTTGTGTTTAAGGCTAGAAACCACCACTTGCTTCTTTGGCCATCTTTTGACCCATTTCTTGCATGAGAGTTTAGTCATACCTGTGCTAGTTTTTGTGGTTTTCCATAAACTGTAATAGATCATGTTTTGGGCCCCTCTTCAAATTTGTTGAAGGGCCCTAATCTGTTTGAGGTCAGAAGCTGTGAGTTGCTTCTTTACCTCATATTTAGGGCCATTTTTGCATGCTAGTTTTGCCATATTTGTTCTTACTGTTTGGCCATGCTTTGAACTGTAAAAATGCTTGTCTAGGGGCTGCCTTGCTTCTGTATTTTGATCTCATGTTCAAATAATGCATGTATTGCATAGCTATAGGCCATTTCATGCGCCAAAATTCATGTTTCGGGACTTGTTCCATGCATCGGGTATCATTTCTCTTTGTTTCGGGGCTGTTTTGCCCCTCGTTTTGCTACTGAATTTTACATATTTGCATATCATATTCCATGTCTTTGCCATGTCTCATTAGAGTGGCATTTCGGTGCATGAGGGTCGGTCATCGATTTGCGTGCACGCGTGCACGCATTTCGAGTTATCTTGTTTTCATCTGATGGCCTCCTATGTGAGTGTGGCTGAGGCTCTCTCGTGTTGGTATAAGCCCATATCAC